ATTAATGAAACATCCCACCAAGAAGTTCTCCAAAAAATAGCTGAAGAACAAGGACTTAAAATATTTATAATGCCAGATCTTTTTGATGGAGAAGAAAAAGATGTACCTTCAAAAATACATGTTTGCAAAGGTGATGGCAATTGTTTTTTTCAAGCAAATTCGTTTTTGCTGACAGGTTCTGAGTGTCAACATACACGTGTTCGCGATGTTGTTGTTAAACATATGGTATCAAAGCCTTGTTCCAGTCTTTTGTCCGGATATTTAGGCGATGATGTGGAAAACTACATTACCATAAGTGGTACGGCTACAGATAGTATATGGACTACAGATGTTGAGATCCTTGGTACTGCAAATCTTATTGGAATTGACATTGCTTTATGGTCCTTCACTGGAGAAAAAATAGCATGGCTCAAATATCCAGCATCCATGAAACTCGACCAACTAACAGCTCATAGTATTCTTTTAGAAAATAAAAACAATCATTATAACGTTGTTTTGTCACTAAAAGCTTTGTAAATGAAATGATGTTTAAACTGAACTAAAATGATGTTTGTATATCAGTTGTTTTACAAGGTTGTTTGTTTTTAAAAAAATAAATAATTTGCTCAAGGTTGCATATTCTTTACAACTTAAAAAAACGTAAATAAACTTGTTTGTAATAGAATTCTACAGAAGTGATTTTATGGATCGCTAGGCTATTTGATTTATTCTAAGATTAGATTTTGTCGCACAATAAAAGAAAATCGCTTTACTTGATGACAGTAAAATTATAACGAGCGCAGTAAAAGTATAACGTTAAAATATTACTCAAACTTTATAAAGTACTCCAATGCTTTTAGCAATTTTTATGAAAATATCATCAATTTGCTGCCTCCAAGAAAAGTTTTTATCTATCATGACTCTAAGGAATTTTGTAACTTTTTCTATTTTTTAAATTGTATTGTCAATAAATAAGACAAGATGTTTTAAATTTTCTTTTTTTCAGAAGTTGTATAAAAAAGTATCCACTATGTTTTATCGGTATTTAAACACAATCTATTATTGAAAAAACTTTATATTGAACAAAATAGCGTGTTTCTCTGAAAACCAAATTTTTATGAATTAAGAGGGGTCGTGTGCAGAACTTTGAGGAACACCATCAAGAATTTCAATTTAGACAGAGCTAGTATTGTAATTGTAACGCTTTGCTTCCTACCTACTTAAAAGGAATTAATCCAGTATAGTAGTTTGCCGTTTATTCCAAATGTTTTTAACTTTAACAAAAGTCTGTTGTGAGGTAGGAAATCATAAGCTTTAGCAAAATTGAGGTAGATTACATCTAAAACTAGATGTAATCTACCTCAATATATTAAGTATTAAAGGCTTGCATATTAAGTATTAAAGGCTTGCACCCTTTAATACTTAATATATGGCACATATATTAAGTATTAAAGGGTGCAAGCCGTCAGTTCCGAATGATTTTTAAGGGTTCAGATCGGTAAGTTCATTTATAATATCTGCAATAGAGAAATCCAAATTATTATTATGATTGTGTTTAGGTTTAACTTCACTTTTATTTAACACTGGAAATTTTTCGGAGCTTCCAAGAGTAAACATAGATTGGAATTGAGAGTTCAGAAGTTCAAGTATATCGGAAAGAATTTCAGTAATTTTCCCTGAAGTATTTTTGAGAGAACGAATTTTATCTTTAATTTTTAGTTAGTTGTTAGTGTATTTGTAGACGAGTTTTGGGTTGTTCTGAGAATTTAATATTATTTCTTTTTCATGCAATATTTTTGCTTTAAATATTTCAGCTTTAACGGAACGATTAAGACGATTAAGACGATTGTAATTTGTTTTTTGATCTTTATTCTTCCATTTAGTTGAGCAGTTGATATGGAAAGCCAATTTTTTTGATCTGATTAAGCTTTTAATATGTGGAGTAACCCAAGTTTAATTTTTTTTTTAAATCTTGGGGATAAAAAATTTGCAAGCAGTACGATAATAAGAAATTAATATATTGAACATTTTATCTGCTTTTTTTTATCCCAATTGATTGATGCAACAAAGTTTGATATTGAATTATAATCACCTTTGTTGTAACTAAACAAATGAAATTCGTTTTAGGGTAGCGGTTCTGAAACTAAGATTCTCCAAGTAATACTAAAGTGACCCTTAGTGTTATTACCTAGTATAGCATTAGGAGTCAAATTTAAGATAAAATTATTGTTGTTGATAAATGATAAGTCTAACGTTTTTTTTGGGAAACCATAGGTTTTCTGGAAAGTAGAAGATGAGATGTGTTGTGTAGAGAGGCTGTTTCGGTTCCGAAATTCATACTAATTAGGATTGTTTGGATTAAAAGATTTAATATCATTATTAGACCACTTCATATTCGGGAGATTAAAATCAACAACAATCAAGCAGTCATCGTAGGTGTTTAGATTGATGTATACAAGGAAAGGAGGTCAGTAAAATGCGAACCGCGAATTGCGAACTACAAACCGGTAAAATGCGAACTTTTTTGCAAACCATAGATCTATTGGTTGTTAATTATCTAATACTTTTCATTTTCCGATTTCCATTAAACTGTTTATTTTACTGTGTATTTTACGGACTTTAGGCAGATTCATAAATTATTTTTAACTTTAAAAAAATACAATCTAATTTAAATACAATATATCAAATTCCACTATAATTAACTTAAATTAAAAAATTGATGAGCCAACGTTTTTAAATATCAAAACTGTATTAGTCATTAAAATGAAATGTCTTGGTTCGCATGAAAGTTCGCATTTTACCGGTTTGTATATACACATACATACATACATACATACATACATACATACATACATACATACATACATACATACATACATACATACATACATACATACATACATACATACATACATACATACATACATACATACATACATACATACATACATACATACATACATACATACATACATACTTAGATAAACAAACAAATTAAACTATTAATTGATAGTCTGGTATTGTTTTAGAAAGAATAATTTGTTATAAACCATTTTGGCAAATTTAACTGAAAAACGGATTTCTTCCGTTCTTAAATACCGGAGATTTTGAGGACCTCAAACTTCGTAGTTCACACTCCACTCCCCTTCCCCCTCTCCACTTGACACCTACTTGATATATATATATATATATATATATATATATATATATATATATATATATATATATATATATATATATATATATATACATATATATATATATATATATATATATATATATATATATATATATATATATATATATATATATATATATGTATATATATATATATATATATATATATATATATATATATATATATATATATATATATATATATATATATATATATATCAGGCATTCAAAACTTCAGACTTTTATAAGTTTACGTTTATATTAAATAAGAATAACATTTTTCATGCTTATGTCATTTTTATTAATAACAAAGTGTTTCTTTTTGAGAGGAGGAGAGGGCACAACACTGTTTATAAGGTACAAACTATAAAAAACTATAAACTTCTATAAAATATTCGAAAGGTTTTTCCAATTTATCGGACAAATCATCTCGTCTCCTTTCCTTGCTCTTAGTGTCAACAGGTAAATTCTCCATTGTAAACACAAATAAACATATTTTGAACGATTAATAGGGACAAAAATTTTGTCTTTTTTCTTTGAATACTTGCACAACTATTTTTATTATTTTATTTGCTGTGTATAAATCAATGTTGCGCTCTCAAATGTCCAAATTCATTATTTTTATAGAGTCGCACACCAATTCTAGATTAAATAAAAACATTTAATTTAGTTTTTTAAACCTTCCTAAGTGAATCTTTCATTTTTTGTCTTTTTAAGATGAACCTTTGCATTGTTTGAAGCAAAGCTTTTTCTTCATCAGCGTTATAGTTATTTTTCCAACACCACAAAAATTGAACGGAAACTAGATGAAACTAATCAAGTAATTAAAATTCGACCAACTTTCAGCAGCTGAATACAAAAACGTTTCTTACATGAATGTAACTCTCTGCTATTTTGGGGGAATCATGATGCACAACTTACAATTCTAGCCTATGATTAACACAATCCCAAACTATGAAAAAAGGAATTTTTCTCTGAGTGTAACTTGTGTGAATGTAATTTGACAACGCTACTTTTTTATCCTAACATCACTGCTGTGCCATCACATGCTTCAGAAAAAATAACTAAATATTTCTTTAAGTACTTTATTCCATTAAGTATGCCGTTCCATAAAAATTATATATTATGGTGGTTGACTCATTAGTTATTAACAAAACTTTAAATTTAATAAAACTTATTTAGCATGACATGAACATACTTTAACATACTTTGGAGTTTTTACAATTTCTAGAAGTATTATATCTAAAATATCAGTCAGCCCTGGATCCGCCTCTGCCTTGAATGTCAACCTTGTATCAACAACTTAAATTTAAATTCATATTACTAAATTTTAAACAATCAGATAAATTGTTTATTCAAAAAGAGAGTCAATTTTTTCTGCAAGATGTTGGACCAAGTTTATTAACACTTTTCTATTTTGTTGATCTAAGTTCAACATACTTTTGAGTGGCATATTGATGTTAGCAATATACTTCTGACTCAGCATATTGATACTAACGAAAAAGTAAATTCTAATAAAGTTAAAGAAGTTGGTTATGGACTAAAAATATTTCATTAACATACATTTCAATGGGAAATATATGCGCATGCCTAAGAACTGTTTTTGATTACAGTTACCTATTGGTAGGTACTCTAAAAATTTAGGAGAAAGTTGGAATAAATACATTAAAGTTAATAAATATAGAATAGTTACATGGAAAGCAAATGTCATTGCAAATAAATACACTGACATTTACTGCAAATTGATGATGACTGATATAAATGTTAAAAACTCAGACATACAACAAGAGGGTGTAAAATATATGTGAACTTCTTACTAAGGAGATAATATAGATATGAATTCCTTACTGAGGAAAAGTTGATAACTCAAGAATGTTCTCTATGATAATATAAAATAAATAAAATATCTTTGCATATTTGTTTTTAATATTGAATTATTTTCTCGAACTGAAATTATATTTCTCTTTTATTTAATAATATTTAAATTGTCAATAATTTATTTAATAATATTTAAATTATCAATAATATTTAAAAAAAACCAATTGGTGTTTTAAAATACAAGATGCAAATACAGTTTGATGAGTCCTTATGAACTCATCACAAAACACCGAGGAAGAGCTTTTGAAAGGAAGTTCACCCTTCTTCAACGATGTTATAAAACTTGCCAAGAGGTCGCATTAAACCAAGGATTTTTAGCTTCTAAGGCAAGTGCGCAAACCACTACACTGCGGCTGCTCTTATCCAGGGCGACGCAGAATTTTTCTTAAACCCAAAAACTCATACTTGAGGTTAAGTTTGCAGACATTTTAATAAGTTAATTAAATATTTTATTTTACTATATATTAAATTTAATTTCATTAAATTTTATCTAATAATCTTTTAGTTTTCGAAATTTATGATTATGTAAATTATGATAAAGAAATCAAATTCAATTTTTAAAAGCAATAACACCAAGTACACGTAAACATTTAATTAATTTATATCTTTCATGGTTCACTCAAATTTGTCTAATTATATTTTTTTCATTATTTTAAACAAAAAAAAAAAAAAAAAAAAAAAAAAAAAAAAAAACAGACAGAGCTGTAACTCCTTAGAATGTTATTAAAATTCTATTGATGCTGTTTTAGTAAGTGGAAGCTCTATAGAAAAGGCAGCCAAAATCATTAATATTTCTCATTAAGGTTTGTCTCGATATTGCAAAAAGTAACAACAAGAAAGCCAGAAAACATCAGTTTATATAAAATCTAGTCAGGTCAGTCAGTTCTTTTATATATTTACAATATATATTTTTTTATTCTTTTTTACAACAAAAACAAAAACAAATACACAAATAAAGTCAACAAAGATGAAAACGGGACAAAATGAAATTTGTTAGAACACCAGTCAAAAGGGTACAAATGGTAAGCCTACATATAAATATATATATATATATATATATATATATATATATATATATATATATATATATATATATATATATATATATATATATATATATATATATATGTATATATATATATATATATATATATATATATATATATATATATATATATACATATATATATATATATATATATATATATATATATATATATATATATATATATATATATATATATATATATATATATATATATATATATATATATATATATATACTTATAAAACAAAATGTAGAATGTCTCCAAAAAATAATAAAACTTATTTTGAAGAACTACGCAATAAGTATTCTACAAGATTTTCTATAAAAAACATTGTTGTACCAAAATCTTATTTAAAACTTATTTAATTCAGAATAGCAAATATATATAATATGAATGTATAATTTTGCGGAAAAGCTTTCAAAACATAGAAGATTATTTTTCTCGTTTAAAATTAATTCAAAGCGGTGTTTATTACACTCAGATTTTGTGTGTTTACTACACCGATTTTGGTTTATCTTGTTTTAAGTGTTTATTTTAAAATAAATCAATAAAACCATTTAACACACAGAATCAACTAAAAAATTATGTAATTAATTTAAATTAATTTTAAATTTAATTCCCATTAAATTCTAAAACTAAACTAAATAAATACTGACATTAATCATTATCATAAATCGCAATATTTTCTTTTTATTTCTTTTTTAATTTTCAGTTATTTCTTTTTCTTTTTTTACAGGGTGCCACACATCGGTGAATAATAAAAAAGCATTTTAATACCATTTTAATAGCGTTTTAATACCTTTAATATATATATAGATATATATGTATGTGTGTGTGTGTCCAAAACTTCTTTTAAGCACCAAAAATGTAAATATTTTCATAAACAAGACAAATTTTCTAATTTTAAAAACCTTTTTTTTTAAAAAAAAACATGTTTCGACTAAAACTAGCCATACTAACATGTTTCTTTAAAATACTTTGAAGTCATTTATGTCAGAGTGAAACGCAAGTTTAGTACTATTAATTTTAAACGTTTTATCGATTAAGCATTTGATTTGACTAACTCTGTACAAAAATGGAGTGAAACTATAAAAATTAGTGTGAAGACCAGAATAGGTTTTTCATGACAAAAACGGTAGTGGTAACTGAAGAATTAGTTTTGTGTAGAGTTACATCTAAAATAGATATTTTTGAATTTACTTCTTGTTCCGTAGTAAAAGAAATAGAATTGTGTCTACTATTTATATATCGAAAAAGGAGCTGTGCATCATTTTCTGACAGAAAAGTAGCACAAATGTCATCAATGTATCTTTTAAAAAACTGGTTTTACATCATTGAAATTTTTGATCCAAATGTTTTCAAAGTAACCCATGAACAAATTGGCAAGAACAGGTGCCAGTGGAGAACTCATTGCTACACCATCGATTTGATCATAAGTTTGTCCTTTAAAAAGAAAATGTGTTTGCGAAGTTGCCGATTGGAATAGTTTTTTTAAATCATTTTTAGTAATTATAATGTTTCTTAGTAAGGAGCAAAATTAAATTAACTGCAATTTTGAAAATTTTAAAATTTGACTGCATATTTTTTTATACATATTGCGTATCTTTTTAACCTATTCTTTTGTTATTTCCTATTTCTTTCGTATGACATAAAAATTTTTTAACTGATTTTATTGTCTTTTTGTAATTATAGTAATTATATTATTATTAGTTTGTACAAGAATAATTATATTTTGCTTTGTTTTTTTAACACTTTATAGGTATTTTAACAAGTTTTGAATATTTCATTTTAACTGAATTGACTAGTGTTAGTCGAAATATGTATTGTTTTTTATTTAAAAAATGGTTTAAAAAATTAGAAAATTTATCTTGTTTATGAATATAAATATATATATATATATATATATATATATATATATATATATATATATATATATATATATATATATATATATATATATATATATATATATATATATATATATATATATATAAACTTCATATTATTTAGTTTTATAAAATTCATTTCTTTGTTTCAAAAATATGTGTTTTATCATTGTAGTATTTGGGTATTCTTTAAATATTTTAACATAAAATATAAATAACAAGCAAAAAATGCACATCTTTTAGTAAAATTTTTCAAGTCAATTTAAGAAGCATTTTTAAAAAATAACAATAAAAAATAACAATAAAAAATAACAATAAAAAATAACAATAAAAAATAACAATAAAAAATAACAATAAAAAATAACAATAAAAAATAACAATAAAAAATAACAATAAAAAATAACAATAAAAAATAACAATAAAAAATAACAATAAAAAATAACAATAAAAAATAACAATAAAAAATAACAATAAAAAATAACAATAAAACGCTCAAGTTGTTATATCTTACTTACATTACTTTTGTAAAACAACAAATGTAGATGTTTTCCGCGTTAGCGGAATGTTTTGTGTATAACAAATTTGTAGCTTTAATTTCTCTCATCTAGTAAAATGTAAAAAACTCATATAAAATACAAAGAACAAAGTCTTTTTCTTTATATTTTATATGAATATAGACCAGAGGTGGCGTTGAACAACGGATCTCTAGCTTCTGAGGCGCGCTAACCGCTGCGCTACGGCTTGAACGCACTTATTTATTTTTAATTTAATTTAAAAACTTTATTTCAAGTTGATTTTTACAAGATAGTTTTATTTAACACTTAAACTAATTTAAATCAACACATTTATAGACACAATGTGATAAAAAAAATTACAATTGTTTCATAAAAAAGAAAAAATGTCATGAAACTTTACAATAGTTTCAATAAAAAAATATTTATAATAAAACAATCTAAAGATATAACTCAGTATAAAAATAAAACAAAAATTTAAAAACGATAAATTTTGCAAACGTAATTATTACCATACCAATTCTTGATATGTTTTTTGAACACCTCAAGACTTTTTGCCGACATGATCTCACAATTTAGAATGTTCCAGAGCAAGGGGCCTCTAAATAATGTACAGCATGAATTATTAAGTATGGAGCCTTTAGGAGGTAGACTGAGTTTTTTGCTACAACGGAGTTTATACCTAAGATTTTTCATAAATATTGGATTTAGACAATTAATAGATTTAAAAGTTTCCATCATAAGAAATCTCAAGTTTCTTAAATGGATTCTTTGACTATTATCAAAATTTAATAATTTATTCAGAGACAAATCAAATCTTTTATAGACTATACTTAGAGCTCTTTTATGAATTCAATATATTTGTTTGTCATCTTTTTTTGAACAAAACATCCAAACTAAAGGGCAATAAAAAAAGTTAAACAAAATAAAAGCATTAAACAGAAAAATAGATTTATCACGAATTAAAAATTTCTTATGCGTGAAAGAGCAAATCAATTTCCATTAGCTTTACTGTATGTCTGTTTAATATGTTTCCCTAACTTTTTTTTTTTTTTTTTTTTATTTTTTTATTCTTTATTACAATCATTACTACAATTTCTATTATAACTTGTGAATAAAACGTAAGACATAAAAAAAAAGAAATAAATAATATTTACAATAAAGATTTCGTTAACAATAGAAATATGACAATAAATATAACAATAAAAATTAGGAATAAAGAATGCGGAAACTCGAAGAAGTCCTTGAGGTCTTGTCGTAGAGAACCGCTGGAATCAAAACGCTTTAAATGAATTCATTTTTATTGATTTTTTGTAAATGTTTATTAGCTTTTGGATTGGATCTGTTCCGATAAATAATTATATAAACCGTTGCATAGAATAGTTAAAAATAATATACTTCAGTATAATTATCGATGTGTTTGATGACGTCATAGTGTGTTGGTGATGATAATATAAATCGAATAGATTAAAAAAAATAATAATTGAATTGAACATTTCTTGCATTAAAATTGTAGAAAATAAAATCAGAGTGGGGTTCTTGAATTCTTGTTGATAATTAGCTCTTGTTCTAATATAGTTTTTTTTTTTTAAGTATATATTGTGTTTGCATCTTTATCATACAAGCGATCATAGGTGGTATCACCGAATCCCAATCCAGCCCAACGATTGCCAAGCAGTTATAGTTGGGTGTTCCTACGCCAGAGGTTATGATGCACTATTCTTTATTTATTTATTTTATTTTTTTTTTAATATACATAGACTGCAAGCACACACACACCCATACTAACAGCACATATACACCCATACACCCATATATATACCAATATACATACATAAATACATACATACACAGATACACATACGCATTTATACATAATTTATTGATTTTATTTTATTTTATTTTTTTTTTTTTTTTATTTCTTTTTTATTTTTTTTTTTTTTTTTTTTTTTTCTTTTTAATTTTTACAAAACCGTGTTATAAAAACCGTAATAAAACTTTTTTGTTTTTTGTTTTTTCAAATACTAAATAAAAGATAAAATAAACCTGAAAATTTATACATACTAGCAATATATAATATAAAGCAATATATAATACGAACTCAAATAATAAATATTTATACATCTATTCACAGCTATCAGTTTCAGTACAATCTCAATGTAACTATATAAATAGGTAAACTTAGTTTTAATAATAGGTAGACAAACCCATAACACTAGTAATATAGAAAAACGTTCTCCATAGAAAGAATTAGATTTTTAAGTTTAGTTTTGAAAATAGAAAAAGAGGAAGGTAGATCAAAATTTTGCAAAATAACTTTATTCCAAAGATTAGGTGCACGATAATCAATACAAAGCTGATTAAACTTGGTTCGACATAAAACTTGATTTAGCAAATTATTATTTCTCAGTGCATACTTATTGTCTGGTTTCAAAGTAAAAATATTTTTAAAAACGTCAGGAGATAAGTTATTTTTCCACATATATACAAAACATAGAGTATTATATAAATTCACTTCGTAAATATTAAGTATTCTCATTTCGTTAAATAAAGGTTTCGAATGAGTAAAGCGATCGGAAAAATTAATAGTACGAATTGCGTGTTTCTGACGTGAAAAAAGACGTTTCAACTTATTCTTTCCAGCACTTCCCCAAGCAATATTTGCATAATTTATATAATTATGGATGAACGAATGATAGAGTTGGGTCAAACTATTTTTATTTAGATAATCTCTAGATTTATATAAAATTCCAATATTTTTAGAAATCTTGGTACATACGTGATCAATATGCTGTTTCCATGTAATGTGCTCATCAAGATAGACTCCTAAAAACTTTATGACAGAGTCCCTCTTAATCTCAATTTGGTTAATAAATATTTTAGGCAGATTTAAGGGTAGGTAACGTTTTTTTTGAAGCGGGTGGAAAATAATCCATTTTGTTTTATTAGGATTAAGAGTTAATTTGTTACACTTGAACCAGCTAGATACTTTTTTAAGTTCGTCATTTATATTACAAAACAGTTTGGAGATGTCAGTATCAGAAAGAAATAGGTTAGTATCATCAGCGAACATAATGCTAAGTAGATTTGAAGCTTTATTTAAGTCATTAATGTAAATCAAGAATAAGAGGGGTCCCAATATAGAGCCTTGAGGAACACCGCAAGATATATCTAATAAATTTTTTTGGCAATCATCCTTACAAGAAACAAATTGTTTACGATTTGATAGGTAGCTTTCAAACCATCTTAAAGTTTTTTTGTTTATACCATAATATTTAAGCTTATGCAGTAATATAGTGTGATCTACTGTATCAAAAGCCTTAGATAGGTCAATGAAGATACCTAGTGTGTATTGGGAATTTTCAAAGGATTTTGAAATTTTGCGTACAAATTGAATGATTGCATGTTCCGTGGAGTTGTGCTTTTTAAAGCCAAATTGATTGCTATATAGTAGGTTATTGCATTGAAAATAATCATAGACTCTATTATACATAATTCTTTCTAATATTTTTGAAAATATAGGTAAGATAGAAATGGGTCGGTAGTTGCTAATAATAGCCCTATCACCTTCTTTAAAAATTGGGGTAATTTTTGCAATTTTAAGTTGTTCAGGAAAAATTCCTTGATTAATTGATGCGCTAAAAACTTTAAAGAGAATATCTTTTAATTGTTCGAAACAGTTTAGAATTATATTACAATTAATGTCATCTGCTCCAGTAGCTTTATTTTTTTTCAGAGTTTTAAATGCTATTTCAAATTCTTCAAATGATAATTTAGAAGACAACTCTCCAGACGTAATGCAATCAGTCATCGGTACTAGAAAATCACTAAATATAGCCTGCGTCTTTGGAATCTTATTGGCCAGTTCAGGACCAATTTTAACAAAAAAATTATTAAACTCGCAAGCTATTTCTTTTTGTTCATAGATGATTCTGTTATCAACCTTGATGACCTGGGGAAGGAAACCTGAGCAGTCTTTTTGTTTTCCGCTTATTTCTTTTATTATTTCCCATGTACGTTTGGAGTTATTTTTATACTTATCGATTAAGCTAGAGTAGTAATTTTTTTTTAAATTTTTTCGAGTTTTTTCAAACTGATATTTATAATCTTTGTATATTTTTTCATTTTCTGGGGACTTTGTTTTTAAATACTTTATATACAGTTTCTGCTTGATCTTCGATGATTTTTTAAAATCTTTGGTAATCCAGGGATTGAATGTTTTTTTTGGATTTATTGTCTTTTCTATGAATGGAAAATTTGCATCGTAGATAGGATATAATGTGTTGAAAAAATTATCATATATAGAGTTTGCGTCATCGTTAAAGTTTATATGTTTCCAATGGAGCAATGATAGTTGCTCTTTAAAATGATTAATATTGTCTTTGTTAATATGACGCAGTCTAATTTTTTTGCTTGTCTTAATCATAGTTTCGGAATTACAGTTAAATGTTAAAAATATAGGGAAGTGATCGGAAATATCAGTTTTTAAGATACCTTTTTGTATGTTTTTATTAAGGATATCGGTTGTAATAATATTATCGATAAGAGTAGTTGTGTTTATTGATACTCTTGTCGGTCGATTAATTAAAGGAACTGCTCCTAATTCAAATATTGCGTCATAAAACTTTTTAACTTTAGAATCCTCATAATAAGAAAAAGTATTCATATTGAAGTCTCCAATAACAAAAACTTTTTTTTTTTCTTTTGTGCTTTTTTTAAATATGTTTTGTTCAAAAAAAATGCTCAAATTTTTGCTCAGACCATCAGGTGGTCGATAACAGCAGCTTAATAGAATGTTTTTTGTTTGATTGTTTACAATTTCAATCGTTAAAATTTCTTTATTCTCGTCAGAAACACTCAAATCATTCCTAACGTAATGCATTATGTTCTTTTTCACGTAAATAAAAATTCCACCGCCGCGTTTATTTGTTTGCCTATCTTGAGATATTAATTTAAAATAAGGAAGGTTAAAATTTGAACTATTTTTTAGGTCATTTATAGTTATCCATGTTTCTGTTAAGCAAAGTATATCAAAAATATTTTTAGTTTCTTCTAATAAATTAAGTAGATTTTCAAAATTGCGATTTAAGCTTCTAATATTTACGTGAAGAATTTTAATTTTATCGCTTGCTTTTACATTATCCTTCAAAAGAAACTCTGCTAATTCACTTGGATAATAATATGAACAATCACTGAGCAAATCACAATAATAGTTAGTGTCGGGATCTGAGAATTCATTTAAGATGCAATCTATTTTAGAAAAATTAAAGATTTGGTTTTCAAAATTATTAACGCCGCTCATTTTTAACAAGTGTATCTATAGAAGGGTTTCTTTTGATAAAAACTTATTTGTTGAGTTCTCTGCAATAGATCTTATCGAACTTTAAAATAGCATACTTACCTTCTTTACGTAAGTTTAATACTTCACCCCAGAGTCTTTTTCGCGTTTCGATTGTTTCTTTAGCAAAATCTTCGTTGATAAAAATACCAGTTCCACGTAAATTTTTACTATTAAAGAGAATTCTTTTTTTATCGTTGTAATTTAACAGTTTTATGAAGATTGTTCGGTGTTTGCCTACTTTTTTTGGACCTGAACGATGAGCTCGTTCAATTATTATTTCGTTCGGGATTTTTAATTTTTTTGAAAAGATATCTTTCACAATTTTTTCACAGTCATTCCAGGTTTCACCAGGTAATTCATTTACACCTTCAATCCTCAGGTTGTTTCTTCGTGAACGATTTTCGAGATCAACCAGTTTCTCACTTATGTTTTTAATGGCATTTGTTTCTTTTATAGATTCAAAACGTTTCTGCTCATAAAGATGTTTAATTTCACTTTCTGTCCGTTTATTTATTTCTGCAATCTTTTGTTTAGTTAACTCTTCTTGGAAGTTAAGACTCTCTTTTATTTCTTCTACGTCCTTTTCGATATTAGAAGTTTTTATTTTGTTTGTAGATAGATCGAGTTCTAATTTATCCAACCTTTCAGTAAAAATCTTCATATTTGCGCTTGTTATTTTTGCGAAGTTTTTTTCTTGTTCTTTGAGAAGTCTTTCGGTCTCCATTAATATAATATTTTTCTGCTCTTCAAGCATTTTTTTAATAATTTCTTCAGTATTTTTACTTATATTCATAGTTATTATCTGTAATTTTATAATAATAAGTTTTGAATTTTTATTTCTTCAAGCAGTTGAAAAGAAAAACAAACACGTGCGTACACTTCAGCGTTCAGCGTTGAATTTGACCACTACTTTAGATCTTTATCAATTGTTACACCAAGTAGTTTACCTTATCGGAGGCAAAAACCAATTGAATTATTTATTTTGAGCAATAGATTTTTTGTGTATTAAGCCAACTAAAAGAAATTGGAACTTAACTGGGTTAGCAACCATCGAGTTTAACTAAAACCAATTGATGGTATTGGTTGCTTCTTTTTGCAAACAAAAAATAACCTCTTCAAAGCTATAATCACAAGCATAAATAGTGTTATTATCAGCAAAATTACAAAGTTCCGCGTCTTTAATAAATAAAAATAAATCATTTATAAAGGTTTTGAACAAAATAGGTAAGGATTAAACCTTGAGGCACTTCAAATAATGTATCCACCCAATTTGAGGCAGAAGACCTTATTTTTACCCTTTTTTTACGGCCACAAATATAGGATAGCAAGAGATTAAGACTTTCTTTTGAAAAATCATAGGCGTCTAATTTAGTTATTAGTAAGTCATGCGGGATATAGCCGTCCGGGATATAATCTTTTGAGAGGTCTAATAATATTGATCCAACAACACTTCTATTATTAATACAATAATGCAACTTATTAAGTAACAAAAAAGAGCATGCTGAATACTATAACCTCTTCGGAAACCACACAAAATTTATCAAACCTAGGTTCAATAAATATCAATATTTTTTTATATTAAATTGTTTCAAAATCTTTAGAAAGAGTTGGTAAAACACTAATTGGACGGTGATTGGACTTTTCAGTTGGGTCGTTCTTCTTAAAGCATGGCATAATATCAGCCTTTTGAGTTTTTTTTGAAATGATGGGAATTTACCATCAAGTATTTTTGTAATACCATCAAGTGTGATTTGATGGAATTGGAAGCTATGTGTACTTGTACTAAATTTTATTATTACATAATAAATTTAAACAGAACGGAGGAATTTATGACCTTAAAATCATTATTTCTTTATTTTTAATGCTTTATTTTTAAATAGCTCAACTTTAGCAATAAAATTTTCCTTACTTTTTGCGTTTGATTAATCAATAATACGGCAATGAATGTAAATATGCTTAGCAAATAACAGGATAAATCAGTTTTAGAAATTTTGGAATCAAATATTTAATCGTTAAAAAATTGTAAAATACGGCAAATATTTATATCAAATTTTTTTATATATAATTTTACAGTTTTCAGTAATTTGTAGGCCAAATATGTAGGCTTAAATATGAAAACATTTATGATTTGATTAATACAAACAAATAACCCTACTATACTATTTCTACCAGTGGAAATTCAATTTACTCAATAATTTTACTTTCTTAGTGGAAATTGAATTCATGTAATTTTTTTTTATTTTTCCTCGTGTAAAATTTTGTTAAACAAACTAGAAGTACAAAAGAAAAAGTTTTGTTATTTTTAGACAATCTAGATTCTCACTTTTTAATAAAAGCTTTAGACTACTTCAAAGAAAATGGCGTATCGGTTTGTTTATTTTCCCCTAATTGCAGCCATAAAATGCAACCCCAGGATCGCAGGGGTGACAGAAAAAACGGAATAGTGTCACAAATGAATTTAATGAATAGTGTCGAAAAAATAAAAACGGAATAATATCGCAAATAAATCTAAGGAATTGTGTCAAAAACAAAAAAAATGAACAGTGTTGCAAATGAATTTAAGGTAATATCTTTGATTTTCAAAAAGTTTGACATTTTTTTTGTTTTAAGGTATTTTTAAGACCTTTGATTATATTCTAAAACCATGATTGTATTCTAAAATTTTGTTTCTCTTTTAAAAGCTACATTTTGGGAAGTTTTTATCATAAGCTTCAAACAAATGTTCCTTAATTGATAAAACATTTGCACCGTTTGTTTTATTTTTATAAAGCGTTTAATAACGACCTATTTTTTCTGTAATATTGAATCGGTATTATTATGTGAAGGGTTCAATGGAAAAGTGGTTTAACCTACATTTTAAAAATTTTCCTGAAAATCACTCCCAACTATACATTGAGTATGTAGTTTGTTGTGGAAAAAGCTATTTCATTTTTAGTTTGAGTAATTTGAATAAATCCAAAACACAAAATTTCGTTTACATCTATTCCGTTTTTTAATTTTTTGGTATAATACTTACTAAAAATGGCGTATTTCCATTGTTTTTAATGTAAACAAATGTAAAAAAATGCGGAAAGCATATATTAATGTAAACAACACAAGCGTACAATATTTTAATTGTCTAAGCTTATATCTATTTTTTATATTTATCTATATTATTCTTGTATTTTAATTTAAATATCATCTTTTTTTAAATATTTATTTAACATTAAAACTACAAGATTGAAATAAAAACACTAATTTACAACTTGAGATCTAGTAAGAATATATCAAGATAATCATAAAAATAATGTTTAGGAAACTTTACAATACATAAACAAATTTATTTTGCAATCCAATGAATTTTCAATGCAATTAAAATTTGAATGACGCGCTTAAAATGCTAAGAAAGACTAATATTATTCTTATCATATGCTTACTTTTTAACGAACCTTATTTGTTAACTTACTCTTTCAAACGTTGTTAATGTGCTTGCATAAACAGAAAGTAAATATATTTAAAACTGACTTCATAGAATTCGTTTTATTTACTCTCCAAAACTATTTAAACCTCTCCCTGTTTTTAAATAAGTAGATTACTTGTTTTTTACTTTTAAATTATTTATTTAAAAACAGGGAGAGGTTTAAATAGTTATGGAGAGCAAATAAAACGAATTCCATGAAGTCAGTTGTAAATATATTTATTTTCTGTATGAAAGGACATTAAAAACGTTTGAAAATGTTTATCATAACTTATTAATATAATTTGAAATTGCTATATTTAATACATAAAAAGTTCCTAAAAAATAGTGATTTAAAATATATGAGAATATAAAAGATTACTTCAAAAAGACTATAATACTCTGAAAATATGTCTCGTCTATGGGGTGTGCAAATTTGTAAAGATTGTGGGAGGAGGGAAATGGTCAATAGATAGTTTGTTAATGGAAGCTGTTTTTTATTTAATTTTTAGTATTAAATTTTTTTCATAAGCAAACTTTAATTTTATATTGTGTTTACTCGAAAGAACAGGAATACAAATACTAAGTAATGTTTACAGTCATAATTCCACGAATTTTTGGTGGTGATGAGGTTTGATTTTTTTTCTTTTTGGCAAACAATAGTTGTTACAATTGCTTAAAAGTGGTACACAATGTTAGGCACGATGATGGCAGGGGCGGCGCAAGGAACAGTTTATCCCGAGTGGCAGATGTCGAAAAGGTATATATATATATATATATATATATATATATATATATATATATATATATATATATATATATATATTTCTTTTTTTTTTTTTTTTTTTTTTTTTGTCTTTTATCAAAGCTTTACAAATACGTGATCATAAATATAAACTAGTTCGTTTACATTGTATAAAAAAAATACCGTACATATAATAAGAAAACTTTTTTTAATACAAATAATAATATATATAAAAAAGTAACACTGTTAAAAGACGCGGGAAACTTGCAGAAGACCATTTTGGTCTTGTCATCAAGAAACCGCTTTTAGTTGCGATATTTTGTATACTTAATTTATTAAGAAATTTCAGTTTGTCAAAGTCTCATGGTGGCATAAGAGTCACACATAAAAAGCTACTAGATAATCAAAAACAAAAAACGGAAAAGAGCTGTATTTGATACACATAAATATATAGTTACATGGTTTGTTATACTTAGTATATTGACATGTACGAAATATAAATAAAATCTAACATTTACTTTGCTTTAAAGTGGATTTTTTAGGGGTTTTTAGTTATTTGTTTTAATATACGTTTGTAAAATTGTTTAAGTTTAGAACAAGTTTTTTTAAAAGTGTTTTCAGAGAATTATGGTTAAGTAGTTTTGTAATTATAGTATTTTTAGCTATTAGTTTGTTGTAGAGGTAAGGGCCGCGATACGAGATGGAGAAACGTGATAGTTTTGTTTTTTTATATGGTACTTTAAAATTTCCTATTCCTCGAGTTTCATATTTATTTCTATTGCATTTAAAAAATTCTTCTGAAAAATGTAATGGGACAAGTCCGAGTTTATATTTGAGCATGAATATCAAATTTTGGTAAATGTTAATTTTGTAGACATTTAGTGCATTTAGAAGCTTTAGCAAAGGTTCGGCATGAGTAAATTTATTTTTATTAAATACTATTCTTGCAGCATGTTTTTGATGTCGATAAAGTGCCACTAGGTTGGATCTATGGGTACTTGCCCATGCTATATTACCATACGTATAATAGGTTTGAATGAAGGAGAAATAAAGTAGCTTTAAATTTTTTTGGGGTAGCATCGGTCTAGCTTTGTAAAGCATGCAAATGTTGTTTCTTATTTTGGTATTTAATAAGTTTATGTGAGCTTTCCATGAAATATTCTCATCGATAAGTATTCCTAAAAATTTTGTTGCTTTGGTTCTTTCGATAAATTTATTTTCTATTTTTAGAGACGGTAATGGAATTGGTATAGATTTTTTCCTTTGATTGGTGTGAAATAGAATGTAGTTGGTTTTTTCTGTACTCAATGATAATTTGTTAGATTTAAACCAAGTATTAAGTTTTTCAAGTTCAATACCTGCAGTTTCGAAGAGTTCTGCGATAGAAGTAGATGAATAAAATAAGTTTGTATCATCTGCAAACATTATGGCATCAAGTTTTTTTGAGACTTTTGGAAGATCATTGATGTATAGCAAGAAGAGTAGGGGAGCTAGAATGGAACCTTGGGGAACTCCGCATTTTATTTTAAGTAATTTTGAATGG